AACAATAACAACACGGTAAAAATGCAAAGGCTTCTGGGTAGATGCTTTTTTGTATTTTTTTTTTTAATTCTCCCTGATGTTTTTATTCCATATGTGCTTCAACAGTACATGCGGTTTAATATCAGCTAACTTTAAAATTTGCGTTTTCATAAATACTACTATTGTACATCTGTCAGCATAAGTTACAGCATGTCGTAATTTTGCGGTATTTTACACATGGTATTTTCATCCTACCATATAAGGAAGTGTGAATTCCAATTATGGAATGACTTACGCGTGTAAGCGTCCTCTAATAATAAAAACAAACCTGGCTGCCACCAGGGTTTGACCAGACTCCACACAAAGAAGTTCGCCAATTCTGTTTTAAACTTTTTTGATTTCGGCATTCCCATGATGTATCCTTGTAAGAAAAAGATGCATAATAATAAAGGTCATTACAAAGATGCTTCAAAGTATGCACTCGGACAGTACGCCATCGCATCGACCTCTGCTGCGTGCCAGTCGATACTCTCGCTGTACTGTCTTTGTGCATACTTTGAGGTATTCTCGTAATAACCTTATATTATTCAAGTGATTATCAGTGTCATTAATAATTGTAACATACTCTTTGTAGTATGTTATTAGTATAAGACATATTCAGACTGATTACTCTGTACAGGTATGTGGCGGTTTTTAAAAGCAAGCTAAGCTAATAAACAGTTTCAGCCACTGTAATTTTATTGTTTATTTGATTATCTTTTTAAATAAATGTTTTCGTAGCAATTGGCATTCATAGTGTTCAGGCGACGATGTTTAATGTTTTCCCATAGGAAAGTATGTTCGATGGGTAATAATTCTTGGACCGAATGCGATTAACTGGGGATGGGAAAACTATTAGGCCAAATAAAATAAATTCAGTGCTTCCAGTAACTATACCCATTTTGGAGAAATTAAAAAAAAATTATTTAATGCATATGAGCCCCAAATTATGTATTTCTATGTAATTCCACTAATGGTTTATTATTTGATTTCAAGACTTTCTTTTATGTAGTGAAAAATAACCGAGACGTTAGCTTTTACATCTGAACTTAAATCATGGTTATGTTCTCATTAAAACTAAAATTAAATTCAAAAGGGAAAATGAAAGAAAATTAAAATCTAGTAGGCAACCTAGTATTTTTATCGTCTGTTATCAGAAGCAGCAAATTTGTTTGTTTGGCTAAAATAATTAATAATTTCATCACAAATTCACAAAAAAAGTCCTGTTTATAGTCTGCACTTTCATTCAGAAGATTGGGACAAAAATAACCAAATTTTTTCAGTAAAAACTGAAAATTGACTCAAATTTTGTCTGTTGGCTCCAAAATTAATTACTAAAAATATTGAAGAATACAAAAAAAAAAAGTGCAGAAAAATTTTGGGAGAAAGTCTGGTGGGGAAAAAGGTTAACATTTAGTGAATTGTAACTTGTGCGGAGGGTTCTATATATATATATATGTCTCTTATCAGAGGTACATTACTTGAGGTTTGCAACGCGCATAGTACTGTACGATGACATCATGTCAAGATCCCATTCAAGTCTCATCTCGTAGATAGCGAGATTGATGCTACAACCTTCTGACATGACATAGACGGTTTGTAATAAAACATGTATTACGACATTCATAGTGAAAAAATATAATACATCGAAAATGTACAGAAAATATAGTTATTGTAATCCGTCATATCGTGAGCAGCTATTTTGATCCACCTGGACATCCCAGTATCCTAGTTACCTCGGGCATGCGCATTCGCATTTTTCTGAGTTGGAACGCTTATGCGAGAGCGAGATTGTAACGGGATCTTGGTATGTCACCGTAGTTGCAAACCCCAAGTAATGTACCTAAATAACGGGTTAATACTACGTTGAAATTATCTCGATTGGAGA